AGCTCTAACCAACTGAACTACAGAGAGACAGTTGTCAAGCTCTAACCAACTGAACTACAGAGAGACAGTTGTCTAGTATATATATATTAAAAACTCGATAAAATTCATGAAGAAAAGGCAAAGGAACTCACTGCCGTGTCGGTGGTTTTATATGTGATAAAAAATCATGTTCATTTACATAAAGCTTTTAGCTTTGATTTTCTCGGCTTAGACAACGTTTATTGCTACGCGAGGCAGCTCCCTATTCTCGATGTTACATGACGTTCTTGCTTTTTCGTGCCCAGTCCCCGGCCGAGTTATATTGGGGAAATATACTGAATTCATGTCAGTCCGTCGGATGTCAAGATTTTTCGGAAATTGTCGTCAGCTCGAGCATTCGACGACTCTTTGTTTTTATTCGATTTTGATTCGATTTTATTTATTTTGTATTGCGCTCGCATGATTTTTCTCAGGATTTAATACGGTTTAATACAATGCAAAGGATCGGCAATATTTTGAATTATTTGGATAGCTTTATTTCTTTCTGGTGATATATATGAGCATTTATATTTAGATTTGCTGTTTAGTGTTCGATATAGAGGTATTGAAACCAATATGATTTCATGAATTTGCAGTTCTATATAATAGCCCACTGATCGTCTTTATATTTATACAAGGAGTCAAAATGTACTTTTCGTATCTGAGATATGTCCATTGGTTAGCATTATCAAGGGTGGGTAGTAGCGATACTAGCGAAGTAGTTGTAGTTCGCTACTGTAGCGAACTACAATTTTCAAGTAGCCAGTAGTTCTTGACTACTTTTTCAAAACAGTAGCTGTAGTTATAGACTACATATTTTTGAAGTAGCTGTAGTTATAGCGAACTACAAAAAGTTTGTAGTCAACCCACCCTTGAGCATTATATGTAATATACCGGCTTACATTCATATATTCGCCTGCTCAGAATTTCTTTCTACAATCTTAGTCATTACAAATAAATGGTCATCTAAAGCTGACAAAAATGTCAACATATATTTTGTCTCCTCATCAGCAGATTGTTCAGTTGTTCTGCAATAGGGGTAGCCTTGAAGGTGCCATTAAAACAATAATCGGCATGATCATTCATGAAGCGCCACTTCAAACCACCAAACTTCGAGTACAGAATATATGTTGCCCAAAAGAAGCCCGTATCGTTCAAGAGGAATTAGGTAAGTCAGTCAATCTCGGTGGTTTGGCCCACTTTACCAGTAGTGCATGCCAAGGGGGCGAAGGGGAATTAAATTATCAAGCATTCTGAAATCAATATTTGACTCGTGATCTTTAACCATATGGCAATGTTAGCCTAAAATTCAAAGCGAATTTCCAAGCAACTTGTTTATAGTTTGGAACAGTAGGCCTAGGAATTTTCTTCGCTGAAGATTTGAAATAAACAGACGTGCAGAAACACAGGTTGCTGGGACTGGGATTTGGCCACTGGGAATGGGAAATGAAGTCCTCAAAAATGGGAATGGGATTGAGGTAATGCGAGTCGATTCCCAATTTTTCTGCGTTTTGAGTATTTTAAAATACAATTTTGATTCGTTTTTGGTGTCTTTGGTCATGATTTTTGTTGTTAACTATATTATTCACAGCGCTACCTGCGAACAGGCATACTCTGGCGCCCGCAATTCTGGGTTTTCTGATTATGCGTGTCTCAGAATGCTGCAAATGCCATTTCCGGGATTCAAATTATTCCCCTAATATTTCATAAAGTGTCCGCCACTTGCTTAAAAGGTCTTAAAACTGTTTATTCTACCAATAAATAAAGGTTTTTTTATTGACTGGGATTTCAATAACTGGGACTGGGATTTCTAATAAAAATCCAACTGGGACTGGGATTTTGCCAAAATTTCAGGTGGGAAATGCAAGGGATTTCTGGTGTCGTCGAGGGACACATGATTGATATCGGCAATCCGGTCATGCTTCAAAGACTGGGCGTCAAATTAACTCCGGAGTTTGAATCTGAGTATGATAAGCTCTGTGCTGAGAGCAAGACGGTCGTTTTTGTGTGTGTCGATGAGGAATTGGCAATGATGATCTCATTGGCTGATATTATACGCGACGATGCCCCGGTCAAACGAGAACAAGAGTTTCATGAGAGCTGATGAGAGTTGAGAAGCAAGACTTTGCATGAGATTTTTTTCAACTCTCATGCCCCAGTCAAACGAGAGAAAGAGTCGCATGAGAGTTGATGAGAGTTGATGAGCGAGAGTTTGCATGAGAGTTTTCTCAACTCTCATGCCCCGGTCAACCGAGAACAAGAGTTGCATGAGAGTTGACTACATATTACCGCGCAGGTAGCGAAAACTCTCCTCAACTCTCATTAAAATTTGAACCATCAACCGTTCAAAGTCAATGAGAGTCGATAAGAGCTGGTGGTCAAACACGAGCGAGAGTGGCAACTCTTATCAACGTACTCTCATCTTCCTTTGGCCGGAGCTTAAGTTCGTCTTTATCTTTTAATCCACTCAGGTGGCTCCAAGACATGGGAGTGCATCTCGCTATGTTGACTGGAGACTCGAAGGAAACCGCAACTGCTGTGCAAAAACAACTGAAACTCGACTCTTGTGTTTCTGAGATGAAGCCAGCGGATAAGCTGAAATGGATTTCCAATATTAAAGAGGAAAATACGCGCAGAAAACGCTGTTGTAGAGGGGTGAGCCTTCTCCTAATTATTTTTGGTATGTGTAATATTTGGGACATTTTAACGAAGAAATGTAATATATCTTTGCAGTACGAAAATTCATCTTGATCAACTTTTTCACTGTCAAAGTTACCGAATATGATATCATTAGATGAATTACAAATTAATTTACCTTTAATGAGGTTTACCTACAATGAGGTACCTGACTATCTAGTCGATCTATTTACTAAAACAAGTTCATCTCATGGTTATGAAACTAGACAGGCCGAATTTAATTTTGTGGCCCGAAATCAAATACGAACTTTTGTAAAAGATCATTTTCATATAGAGGTGCTGTGGCTTGGAACAAATTACCGACTAATTTAAAAAGCTTGGATTCATATACAACATTTATAAGAAATTAGTACCAAATAATTTAGTATAATATCTTTTAACTCTCATTTTTGCTATATACAATATAGTAAGTAATATATTTTTGTAAATATGCATGTGCACGGCCTATTGGAAGATCACTTCTCATTTTGTAAATATTTTTAACTTTATTGTGAAATAGCACCAAAAATTCATCTAATTCATCGACTTACCTTTTAGGAAAAAGTCCCCGTGGTTGCAATGGTAGGTGATGGCGTCAACGATGGTCCGGCCTTAGCAACGGCTGACGTAGGCATTGCCATGGCGGCAGGGGGGTCCGCGCTTGCTGTCGAGGCTGCAGGTCGCAATTATGACGAACACCGTCATAAAAGTTCCTGAAATGATTTGCTTGAGTCGGTTTTGCCGCTGGCTTATCATCGAAAACATCGTCATAGCTATTTTACTCAAGCTCGTTTTTGTCGTGGTCGCGGTGATGGGTTATGTACAGGTCTGGATGGCTGTCGTCGCGGACCTGCTGGCAACGGTTATAAAAAATTTGAACATCCGAGTTTAGTGCAAAAACTCTCTATAAAAAAGACCCGAGTTCCGTGTTCTGCCTTTTTCCGCAATCGTTAACGCAAGCTCCTTTCACCACTGAGGTCATCTAGCTGGGGACATATGACGCATATGGGAAAAATCGAGTCCGCCAACGCCCTACGGAAAGCCTTGGGTTTTCTCCGGTTCCTTCGGTTTCAACAGGGATTGTTGACAGGGTGGGTTGGGATTAGTCACGTCACAATTACGTTGCCGCGTATATAGAACGTAATACAGGCGCGATTTTTCTCTCGCGCCGGCATACACGCATAAAAACGCACAAGTTGTAACAAACCTGCAGTAGACTTGTAGCAATGCTGTTCCAACAACTTGCGAACAGGATGTGTTCGCACTGCTTGTTACCAGCTTGCTGACAACTTGCTACAAGGTTGTTGAGTTCAACAGACTTGTTACAAGTTGTTCCAACAACTTGTTATCAACTATTAGTCAACACGTTGTGAGTGACAACCTTGTAGCAACTTGATTAAATAACAGCATTGTTACAACTTGTTGACAAGCTTGCTACAAGCCTGTTGTGAATACATCTTGTTGACAAGTTGTGAGATTTTTACGTGTGTACGAGTCGATTACACGCGCAAAAATCTCACATCTTGTAGCAAGTCTGCCAACAAGCCGTCAACAAGTTGTGTTCGCACTGCTTGTCCCAAGTTATCAACAAGTTTGGAACAAGCTGTCAAGAACTTGTAACAACCTTGTTGATATTATCAGACTTTTTGCAAGGTTCCAACAAGTCCGATACAGTCATGATATAACAATATTGTTACAACCTTGTGTCGTCAAACTTGTAACATCCTTGTTATATCATGACTGTATCAGATTTGTTAGAACAACCTTGTAACAAGTCTGATAGTGCCGCAAACAAGTTGTTACAAGACACAAGTCTGTTCACAAGCTGTCGACAAGCTTGTTCCTAGCTGTTTTAACTTGTTTGGAACAAGCTGTTAACAACTTGTAACAAGCTTGATATGGCATTATGATTATCAGACTTGTTTACAAGGTTGTTCTAACAAGTCTGATACAGTCATGACATAACAAGAATGTTACAAGACAAGTCTGATAATATAACAAGCTTGTTACAAGTTGTTAACAGTTGACAACTTGGGACAAGCAGTGCGAACACAACTTGTTGACGGGCATGTTGGCAGACTTGCTACAAGATGCGAGATTTTTGCATGTGACACGTTGAGTACGGCGCGACACAATCTCGCCGGGGCTAATACACACGTAAAAACGAAGTTGTTGCAACAACTTTGTTATCGTCCTGCAATTCAACAATTTGGCAACAAATTGTGATTGAAAATCTTGTAGCAACTTGATAAAATAACAGCATTGCTCGTACTTTTGTACGCGAAGTCAAGCACGAACGAATGCAAATTGCCTTAAAATAGTTAAATTTAACACATTGTTAAAGCTTTAAGAAATAAAATAAAATAATAGACTACTTTACTTTGTGCGTATTTTATCCAGTATTTGAGCGGTAAATTCTCAATTCATTTAATTAAAAGGGACTTGGTAGCTCTGCATATTGGATATTCAATTTCATTTCATCTTAGGTGCAGATGAGAGCATGCCGAATTGGTAGGTTTCTATAATTATTATAATATCACATTTAGTGGCAGCACTCTTCCCTTGATGAGTAAAATTATCTGGCATTAGAATAGAAAAAAAAAATAATGCATCAGCACATTGCTGCTTAAAGGGTTATACAAAACAGTGTAAATTTATAGGTGGAAGTTAAGGTCCCCCCCCCCAACCAATGATTTGTGGTATTTGGTCTTTACCCAACACTCATTTTTGAATTAATCAGGAAAAGTTGACGCTTGATCCAGACCAAGTGACTGACTTACAACATCGTTATCACCATCGTCACACCCATCATCATCACCACAGCTGTCATCATCACCATCATCGGTCACTACCATTACCTGACCATTATTGCCACCGCCATCATCATTACCACCGCCATCATCATTACCACCATTATGACCATCATCATTATGCCATCATCATTATGACCATCACTGCTATGACCATCACTGCATTATGACCATCACTGCATTATGACCATCACTGCATTATGACCATCACTGCATTATGACCATCACTGCATTATGACCATCACTAAATTATGACCGTCATTATGACCATCATCATTATGACCATCATCATTATGACCATCATCATTATGACCATCATCATTATGACCATCATCATTATGACCATCACTGCATTATGACCATCACTGCATTATGACCATTACTGCATTATGAGGCCAATTATTATGACCATCATCAATCAAGGTTGTTGAGCTCAACAGACTTATCTCTAACCAACTGAACTACAGAGAGACAGTTGTCAAGCTCTAACCAACTGAGCTACAGAGAGACAGTTGTCAAGCTCTAACCAACTGAACTACAGAGAGACAGTTGTCAAGCTCTAACCAACTGAGCTACAGAGAGACAGTTGTCAAGCTCTAACCAACTGAATTACAGAGAGACAGTTGTCGAGCTCTAACCAACTGAGCTACAGAGAGACAGTTGTCGAGCTCTAACCAACTGAGCTACAGAGAGACAGTTGTCGAGCTCTAACCAACTGAACTACAGAGAGACAGTTGTCGAGCTCTAACCAACTGAACTACAGAGAGACAGTTGTCAAGCTCTAACCAACTGAACTACAGAGGCCAGTTGTTAACGAGCAGTAACCGTTTCTTTCCACCTCAAACTAGGCAATTTAAACAATTTCAATTCGCGACCATCTTTTTTAGGCTGTTACTATGGCATTATTAAACGCAGTGGTAAACAATTCTCCCTCCTACAACGACCGAGTATTTCATCAACAACAAATCTGCGTCGCTGGATTCAGTGAACAACGTTTGGAAAAGGTTTGGCGAAATAATTCTCATAGTGGCTAGTGCATCTAGCGTTCGCTGGTTAGGGGTGGACCATTAGATATCCTGCAT